ACCTGGAAAGTGCCACCAAGCACGGATGCCTGACCTTATTTGGAACATGACCTTTGGCATAGTTACCTGCAATAAAACCCCCAGGTTTTTTCTATATGACAATTAGGCATTGCCCTATAGCTGGATGATAGGATCCCACTGCCACATGTAAATAAAGCATACTATGAGCACCTATCAACTGAGGCTTTTGCTACTGCCTCCACACTATAAATTCTCTAGTTTTCCCACTAATAAATGGAGCTGTTTTTCACTGTGCCTGGAGCTGTGTCATTGCTGTTTCACTGCGCCTGGGACCAGCCTGTGATCAGTTTCCCCGGAAGAACTGTCTTCCATCAGCGCCCACTGGCTGTTCTGACCCCGTTTGCCACTTCTGCTCTCCCTGCCCTCGTGGGCTGGTGGCCAATGACTGGCGAAGAAAGGGAGAGCCCCCCGCAAGGCCACGTGACCAGTTGAAGAAACGTGGATTGTAATTGACATGAGTATTTTTGTCCTATTTCGTTAAGAATAGGCTTGTGCATGTATACACATATGTTAAGCAGATACTTGAGTTATTCTTTTTTGAATGTGTAATTGAGATGTGTTAAGTGGTTAAGTGTTGTGAACCTATATGATTATATTGGGTTATGAGACACTAAAGGACTAAGCATTCCTCGAAGACCTTATCACCTACTCCAAAATATATAATGCATTGTTCATTGTATTATGGGATAGTTATATCAATTTAGTGAAATTATGATCTCAACATTGTTTTCATTTGAAAATTAAGCATGACATAGAGAGATGCTATTGTGTGTCAAGTTGACAAGGGGTGGACTTGTGATGGCTAATCATGGGTGTCAACTTGACTGGATCTGGGCTCAACTGAAATGAGAGAGATCTTCTGGATTGGGTCACCTGAACTGAGTGACTACAGATTCTCAGCCTCTCCAGTGTGGTGCAGCCATTGTTGGACTACTCAGACTCTATCCTGTGAGCTAAGCTGATAAAGCTCTATACATGTATATATATATTCATTCTACCGGTTCTGTTTCTTTAGAGAACCCTGACTAATACACAAGGAATATATCTTCCTTTATTCAAAGAAGGTACAGTGAGAAGTAGAGGCTGACCATGGGAACCAAGCTTCTACAACTAGACAAAGAAAACGGGGTTCGGGGGTGTTTATATGAAAGTTGTGAGACATAACTGCACTTTATGGGGAGTTGTATATTCATTCTACCGGTTCTGTTTCTTTAGAGAACCCTGACTAATACACAAGGAATATATCTTCCTTTATTCAAAGAAGGTACAGTGAGAAGTAGAGGCTGACCATGGGAACCAAGCTTCTACAACTAGACAAAGAAAACGGGGTTCGGGGGTGTTTATATGAAAGTTGTGAGACATAACTGCACTTTATGGGGAGTTGAATTAGTGTCTGGGTCTGGTGTCCTTTAGGGTCTCTTTTCTCAGACAGGCAGATGAGTTATCTATAGTACTAAAGGAGACAGGTGGGCTCCACAAAGAGTCTCTCTCTCTGTCCAGGGAATGACCAGTTGATAAGGCTTGAGCAAGGTCAGTCTGCCAATTTAGGGCCAGTTAGAAACTTTAAGGGATTTATGACTTTCCCTAATGAGGCTTGTGGCTCTTCTGCAATTCACATAGTCTATCATTCCAGACCCTGGGGGCATATGAAAAAATGGAGAGGGCAGGAAAGAGGAAAAGAGGGCACATTGCTTTGGGGAAAATAAGGTACAGGCACAGTGAGGAAAAAACAGATCAAGTCCTGGGTATGGGACATAAAATTTCCTTGAAGTCACAGTTTTTGTGTCAGTAAGGGAATCCCAATCAATGGCTGGGCCAGGCATCAATCAGAGGCTTACTTTGAAGATCCCTCAGCAGACTGAAGAGATGATTAGGTCAGTGAAGGTGATACAGCTTCTCGGCAGAGGGCCAGCAAGCTGTTTGTCTCAGGGAATTTTTGGTTTCTGAGAAGTTCTCAGGTGGCATGGAGCAGGAGCATAGTCTTAATTTGATCTCAGGTAGAGGCTTGGGCAGTAATACATACAGGCTGCTCAGTGAGGAGATTCTGTAAGGATTTTTGGAGACAATAGTTAAGCATAGTGTAAGGAAGAGATGGGAAGATGAGCTGGCCAGTCCAGTCCTCATCTGGGAATAAAGTTGTCATTATTTTTCGGAGCCTCTGCCCTAACTCCTATGGGGAGACTGCGCTCTCTCTGGGCGCAGGGTGCGCTCACTCCCTGTGGGTCCGCAGACTGCTCTGGGGAGCGGTGGCTCCAGGAGTGGCACGGCAGATCCACAGACTTCTCTGGGAAGCTGCAGCTCCGGGAGCGGCGGGGGGGCCGCCGGGTTTCCCGATGGCTCAGCCCGTGTCTCTGGTGCTGGCGACAGCTGGTGGCTGTCGCAACTTCTCTGGTGCTGGGAGCTTACTCTGCTACTGGAGCATTGTCCAGCCGGAATCCCATCTCTATTCCACCCGTGTACTCTTCCTCAGGATGCAAGGCTCCTGGCCACTGAACCACGCAGGGAAGGGGTACGGAGACGGCGAAAGCTAGTGTGTCCGTGGGTTGGTAATGGAGAGTGCTGCCCTCCGGGGGGATCAGGTCACCGGTACACAAGACTCAAGGCTCAGCTCAGTCTGTGCTTACAGCTTTATTCTCTCTGGGACCCAATCTCTGGGACCCAGTCTCTGACCCAATCTCCCACTATTAAGAGAAGGCTAGGATATTTTATACCATGGGGGTAGTGGTAAAAGCTTTGGCTGTTAGATGCTTTGTGAGACATTCTATTTACATGTGGAAGTGGATTTCTGCCACACTGCTAGACTGCTGGCCACCTGGAAAAATCA